TTTAAAAGGATGAATGATTTTGTTAAACACAATAAATGAACGTTAGACATCCAAATTCTTCCTAACAACAGGTTTTATCTCAGTAGTTGTTATCAGCTAGTGTTCTCAAGCACAAAATTTCATGAAAAAGTATTTTTAGAGCACGACAAAACACATACCGGAGAACACACAGACTTATTACAACTGTCTTAGCTAACCTGCATTTTTCTGGCCACAAACTAAGAGGAGACTAAGACATCACCAATATCCACAATTAAATAAAAGTTTAAACAGAAGACTGCCTCCAGATATTGGAAGCACTCTAACTAGAGCAGCATGAAGATCCCTGAAAAGCAAATTGCCCTTCGGTATCTCCACAAGGTATCTCTGCTGTGATCTGACACGTAAAGCCTATCTTCAGAATCTAGCTTAGGTAAAAACAATGACTACATCTGCTAAAGAGGGCCCTAATCACTGGCTTTAGACCCCTATGGAAAAAAAAGTCAAGGATCACTGAAGGAAATAGTTGGGAGCCAGGGGCAGGGAAGGGAGGAGGAAATCTTAAGTAGGTCAAGACAAGACAGCTTACCAGGGATGGAGAGGATGCTGACACACCTATCTGGGGAGGAGATGGAGACTGAAGCCATTTAGGCTGAGGAAATTGATCAAAACCTCTTGTTTCCTGCATAAATAACTTATCCTCCCCATCAGATGAGTTTAACAAACTTGTTAACATGCCCACTACTTCAGTGGGCGTGCGACTTCAGTGCTCAAGTTACACGCTGCAAGGACTGTAGTGCCTTCGCTACAGTCCACTGAAGTTAATGCTTCTGAAAAGCTTTATCTTATGGTCACCAAATCAGGGACCAGGTATTTATTAATACTGAATACTGCATTTGTGTGGTGCCTGGATACTGAAGTGAGCACTCATCTGTATTATAAAAGGTGGTCATTACAGACAAAGTAAAAGAATGGGACACTATTTGACCCCTTGAAACAAAGCATGCCCTCAACAACAGCTCTTGGAATAAATTCCTGTGCCTGGATATTAAGTGGAAGAAGGAACATCCAGACAGTCACCCAAACTCTGGAGAAGGACACAACTTAATAACACTGCAGAGTACGATGCATCTTAGCAGCTACCTCCATCTAACTTTTTGGTTAAGATGCAGGTTACTTGAATTGCTATTCTAAAGCAGATGAAGTTTGTGTGAACACCTATATGGTGCACTGCTCTACACTCTGCCTAAAAGACACCAACATATGTGCAGCCCAGGATAGAGTCCTGGGAGGACATGTGAGAAATTAAGAACTAATCAACTTGTCCATGTTTATTTAGACAGCTGCAGAAAAACAAAAACATTTTCTTACGATACTTTCTGTATCTTAACCAAATGCAGCAGTCAGTCTAGCTCATTTTTTTTCTGCCAGCTCTTTCTAATACATTATAGTCCTCACCCTCTAACTAATGATTAGTGTTGTCAGCTTGAGGTACTTACAGTCTGCAAGATAAAGTCAAAGAATATGAAGAGACAGACACACGTGCACACTCAGGAATGAAAGCTGGATCATGCAATTTTTGCAAGCAGAGAAAAAACAATAAATAGAAATCGACATTTTCTGAATTGTTCCTTTGATGGGATTTTAACTGCTATTTCCTTTTTAGAGTAGCAAATATATAAAGGCAGGAAATAATATTGCTTCTTGTACCTCTAGAATGTAAAACCCATTTTATGTAACATTTGCTGCATGTAGCAGAACCAAGTCCATATATGTAAGAAGTAGAACTAAAGATATATCAGGACAGTAACTGGTAATTACTTTATTTAAAATTCGGGTGTTTTCTCTAATAACACCTTCCATGAATATTTTCTAGCAGGATTCAGACATCAAGCTTAGAACATCCCCACTGGAAGGACAACCTGGTCTATATTGTTATCAGCCTCAAGTGCAGCAGATGTATTGCCCCTCACATCCCTTCCATCAGGTCAGTGCCACAAGTAGAAGCCAACAACAACAAAAGAATTTCTTGCATTATATTGGTAAATTATCTCAATATAAAAAAGAAAGATGAAGACTGTCTTGTAGCACAGACACTATGAATATGCAACAGCGCCATAGAGCTCATGCATGGTATAGATGTGAGGTTTGATCACTGCTTTTGCAGAAACTCCCCTTTTGTTAATTCATTTGATTTTATTCTTGTTTATTCATTCTGAAGCAGGCACCCTTCCCCATCACTGTTTTGGTATCAGTACTATTACTACATGTTGGTATTAACCACATTCAAAAAACCTACAATGCTAGAGCCAAAACACACCTTCTGGGAGTTGCTTGGCAAGATGCAACAAGCACTGCACCAGGGGAGAGTCATCCACCTGCAGGCTGGCACCGTGACAGATCTCTTGCATTGCAGCAGGCTTCTGGTAGACTTTTCAATATTTGTGCTTATTTATGCTCCTGTAGTAAAAGTAGGGCAGCATGTTCTATTGCTCAGAGAAGGGATAGGTACAAGCAACCAAAGTCATAACAGGCAGAAATACTAACCATCTGCCATAGTCAGATAAGAAGTGAATGCAGCATGTGATACAAGACTAAGAAAAGGAATAACATCCTTGGCATGAAGTGGTTCCAATGTTAAAGTCATACATTCCAAATTTGAAAGGAGCAAAACAATTTGAATCACTGAAAAGTTAGAGGAGAATGGGCTCTCTAGCCTGGAGTGAAGGTTGTTCAACTTATGCCTCACTTTTCATTAGCAGGATGAGAGAGATCAGTTCCTTTAATTTTAACCCAGTGATAAAATGGCCTCATCTTCCCCTTTGCTGGACACAACAGAAACAATGAGTCATAAGAACAACAGCTTCTTGCTGATCTGAAAGAAATAACAGACATTTCCTTAGATTACTTACCCACCCACCATGAAAGACTGGCACCTTTCATGCCAATTGTGAGACAGAAAAACCAGCTCAAGCCTGTCATACCAGACCATTCTCCAACCTCTGCTCCCTCCAAGAGCAGTAAGGAAACAAATAAAAGAGAAATAAATCTTAAGACACTTAGTTTATGCCTCTGGTGATGACATTGCAACCAGTCACATTTTAGCATCCTTTCCTTCCAAAAGGGCGCTGAAACCAATACTTTTGAAATTATTATATGAAGTGCCCAGTTTTATACTATGGTAACAAATCTAAACACAAAGCAACAAAGGCAGCCTGGACCTGTGTATGAAAACTAGCTAATAGCTATTTTGGAAACTGCTGTTGTGCTCAATATTTCATTTAACATGGCAGAAAAAGAGCAGTTCTGTATGTGTCTTTCACTCTGTTTATTGTAGCAAAGAAGTTAGTATATTTGTTACTGTTTTCTACATTCCATTTTAGGACATTCCTTATTAAAAAGGATCACAGCAACGGGGGTAAAATTCAAGCAACAACCTTTCTGAGAACCAAAACTAACTGTTAAGAATTATCCACAAATAAACTGTCAAAATATTGCAGTTATATGGTAACCACCATTAAAAGAGAGTAAAGACCAAGTGAAACAGAACCTATTGGTCCAAAAATAAGAATGATGGTAAGCAACAAAGAAAGGAGAAATACAAAGCAGTTACTAAAACTTTTCCCAACTCTAGAAACTCTAGAAAGCTACATCAATCTTTCAGAGAAACTATAAAAACTTCATGACACAGAACTTCTGGAGGCAAGCTGTGAAACACCAGCACAGGGCTCAGCAACCTTTGAGTATTAGGGAAGGCATGCAGGCAGGCAGATTTTTAATAGCATACCATGTGACTCCTAATTTTGGCCGTGCCCTAATCCTGGCATCTCGAAAGATTCATCTGTAAGAGGCAGAAATCCCTCTCTCACCGAGTTCCAAGTTCAGAGCGATCTGCCTCACAGGGAGTCAACTGATGCTATCTTACCTTAGCGGGGCAGCATGTCTTTATTCTTGAAAATTGCTTGCCAGTAGGGCTTAAATTAAAATTTGGAAAAGAAAAATAGATGACCAACTATTGTGTTAAAAAGACATAATTGAGATCTTCCTGCAGAAACTGTGACAGTCAAGGGTATCTATACGTATTTTCTTCCCTCTTGCACATGATTTTTCTGTTGGCATACTTCTATCACGGAGATAACATGATAAGTCCAGTCAGTGCTTTAGCAAGTATTGTTTGCTGGACAGCCTTAGAGGCACTGAAGAGCTAGCTCAATGTTTCAGTCCCAGGCAGCAATTTGCTGCTTATCCCTAGAGGTAGGGTGAGGACAGTGTAAACACTACCTTATTTTAGGAACCTTGGCTATTCTCTTTAGGTGTCTGATGCAGAAAATGTAGGAAAAAATCCTCGAAGTGATATTAAACAGCACTTAAATTTAACCCTTGCTTTGACCTGTCTCTTGGATATCCTGTTTCTTGAAAATGATTGTGAAGGGAACCTACACAGATTAGCCTCACAATTTCAATACAAAGTCAGACAACACAAAAATACACAATTAGGCCCTCAGAGGTAAATAGCCTCCCATGTTGCTCTCCTGTCTCATGAAATGAAATTACTTATTTATTCTACTGTACATTTATTTTAATATATATCCTAATGCTACTCATCTGCTAATGTTTTGCTACTGTTTGTTTTTCACTGTCTTGATTAGTATCAGGAAAAAAAAATAAAGAAAAAAATGCTTTCAAATGCTATTGTCTTAGAAACACACTTTACACACCTTGGATTTTTATCATGGTGCTCCCATGCCTTACCAGAAAGGCTCCTTTTAGCCTTATCAAAAAAAAAAAAAGGCAAAAAGCAGGGAATGACCACTTTTTTGTCTGCCTTGGCATAACAGGTATTAAATGTAGGTAGAAGACGATAGATATCCTTACAATTAAAAAGTCTAATACTGTCTAAATAAGGAAATGTATTTTTGAGAGCTTGTTGCTAAGCCAATAATGTTTCTTATTGCATCAGCAGTATCCCTCGGGAGGCAGCTATCCTGTGACTTACATTGCTTCTTCACACTACCCTTACCAGAGAATTGCTCCTCAAAGCAGCCAGGAATCCCAGCAGCCTCTATTTCCCAAACCCATCTACTCCTACAGGTAATGATTTTTTTTTTTTTTTTTAAGGTCCTGATGTTACAGGAAATACGCTGTTTACCCATGGCATATTTCCAGCATAATTTGCAATAACATGCTTACTCTTATTTGTCTTGTTCCCAGTGTGTTCTGTCCTGTTTGTATGAATCACAAGTTGCTCCAGACTCTAGGGCTAAGACAATGGGAAATGAAATGCTACAAAGCGTGTGAACAATCCCCAAACATTCTCACAAAAAAAAACTACACAAATTTCTAACAGAAAAGTCTTAGGTGTTGCACATTTCACCAGCACAAAACTAACCACATTTAGTAGTATTTTCCAAGACCTGAATTAAAACTGATTCATTTTCCAATTATTAGAGCCAGAAAACATGTGGAAAATATCAGATACACTAATTGCCATATAGGTCTAGCTCTCTCAATAGAAGCTTAGCAAAGTAAATCAGCAATTAAGTTTTAGTTAGATCTTGTGTCACTGTCAGTTTTATATTCTTTGTAGCCTTTATCAGTTTAAGCACTTATACACAACCTTTGAAAAACATACAATGGCAGGATTTGAAATCTGTGGGTTTGAATTTAAAATAATTGAAAATGAAATCAAGCCAGACTCAACTACCTCTGAAAATCATGTAGCACAAGGAGATTGATTATTCGCAGCTGAATGTTTTAAGCATCATCACTATTCATGTTACAAGAGTGAAACCCAGAGTAATTGCATGGACTGTTGTCTTTTTTCTGCTTCTGAGGGGTTAAGCAGAACAAGCTAATTTTTTTTTCTTTCTCCCTGTAGCATCCTGATCTTCATGGCACTCAAAAACAGCAAGACAGGAAGTTTGCCGGTCAGTGAGATTTACAATTTCATGACAGAACACTTTCCTTACTTTAAGGTGAGTTCTGCATCTACAGGGGAGGAAAAAAATCTCTATTCTTCCCATAAAGAGGTGATTCAATCTATTAAAATGTATAAGCTTTTTTAAACAGATTATCAATTGTACATCATACACCTCCATGCTCACAGACTGGCATGTTCTATCCAAGGCCAATTCACAGAAAGGATGGTGTTGTTTTGTTTTTTTTTTAAACACATTAATTCCTTGCTCAGATCCAGGTAGAACTGGTCTCGTGGGTTCCTCTGCCATCAATAGCACTTCCAGACTCACGTGCAAGTTTCAAGGTTCCCTGCTCTGTTCTGAAGCTGGAATATCATTCTTAAGCAACTTCATCACTTGCATGCACTGTACAAAGAAAGACGTACTCTGTGATAAATGGTACTAAGCTCATAATTACACAGTAATGTTGGTGAAGGTAGGGGTGTATGGTTTACGGAAGATCTTATTGACATTTAAATACATGCTACAAGAGAGAATGGTTTCTTGCATTCAGAATGCAAGTGGAGAGAGATTAGTCAGCATACGATCCAAGAGCGGAGGGATTACAGTTTGATTTTAGGAAGAGCTATAATTGAATTGTAGGCTGCTGCTCAACATAAAATCTGCAAAACAAGTAAAATCAAACATGTCAATAGTGAGAGAGTAGGAATAAAAATTATCCCCATGGAAGAAATGTGAGGATTCATTATAATGGGAGACAAAAGGGCAAAACGATACCTGAGAAGAGCATAATTGCTACCTTTTTCTTCATTTTCAAAGTGAGAATAGATTACAGGGCTTATATTTCCTCTCTGATGAAACATTAACTGGCCTTTCTGTGCATTTACCACTAGATGCATAAAATATTTTAATAAAGTAATGGCAAATAATTTGCAAGTTATGAAAAAATTCAGCCACAATATCTTGAAATTGATATTTTGCAGAACTACTCATTGCATAATGCATAGATTATGTAATCTACAGAGGAACACATTCCTAACTAATTACTGTTTTCTAGAAAAATGTGTAATAAACTTAAAGCAGAAAGGTAGTAGTAGTAAGTTATTTTTACAGGCACAACTGTATGCCCATATTTATCCATCAGACTCTTCTCAAGTTACTTTCTCCTCTGTCTTACAACACAGCTGATCGATAAAATTAGCAGCTTACAAACCAAACAATGCTACTGCCAACATACACAGAATTCTTAAGATACAAGATTGTAGCTCTGCCAGGTCTTGCTGTTGCAGGTATTCAACACAATGTTCAGGAAATATGCATCCTTCCCTCAACTGTCTGTGCACAGATGTTTAAATACATACATTGTCTTATGCTTCTGTGCATATACACATGCGCACATTAGGTATAAAAGAGTTTCTTAAAGCTAAAAATAGTAAAAATATACTCAGTATAAACTTTTCCTTCTTACTTGTCAAAAGTTTCTCTTGAAGAATTTAAAAGTGAGGAATGAGGTTATTGACTTCATATGTATTAAAGGCAAAGAACAATGCAGAGAGCACTTAGCAGAACATTACACATCTTGAGAGAATTTTTTTTTTTGCATTTGGCTTGCTTATATACAAAAGAAATGGAATGGTTACATCCCAAACTTCCTTAAAATAAGCACAGGCAAACAAGCAATCAAATATTATGCTTGTGAGGACCAGGCCCTATCTATGCTCCTGAAAACACCCCACAGAATCATCATTGGGCAAAAGTAGTTTCATCTAACCTCTCTTTTGTTGGAGAATTTTCAGGACAATAAAAATAATAATAAAAAAAGAATCAGCAAAGACTATTTTGGTGCTATTACTAGAACTCACTGCATAGCAGAATAATATAGAAGGAGAGAAAGCAGTTTAAATTGGAGAGAAACAGAGCACAACTGTGCATAGAATCTTGCTGGGAGACATTAGATGATACAAGCCTAGTCAAATTAACTTGCATTCGCTGCCGCAGCAAATTTAGTTTCTATGATGCAACAATCTCATTTCTAGTTGAAACCGAGCAATCCAACTCCTACGTCCTAAAAAAACATCTACGCAGCTAAAGTTGAATTACTCTTTGATGTACCTCTCCCTTCTCTTGAGAGCTAGATTTAAAGAGAAAGGGTTTTGCAAGATCACTGAACTCTTTAAACTTCAAGAGGCGGTTAGGATCAATGAGCCTGTACAATAATATTTTTTGCTTGTCATCCTTTTTTTCTTTGTAGTGATTAGAGTGTCTAACAGAAAGCTTTAATCTTGTTAATTGGAGTTATTGCCAGTGGTCTACGAGGTTAGAAAGGTCTGTGGTCTGATGGAACCTACAGCAGCCAAGTACTCTCTTGCACTGTCAGTTTTACACAACTTTTCACATTACTCCAAATGCAGCAGTAGCAGTAAAGAGCCACAGCAGCGAGATTCCAACTGCACGAGAACAATCCGAGTGGGCAGAGCTCTGTTCCTTAATAGAGAATAAATAAAACAACCAGTGTCATACTTCCATCACAAACACACTGCTGGACTATTCTGACAGGGCTCTACTAGGTAAACAACTATATTTCTCAGCTCAGCAATACCAAGTTTGATGTAAGAACCTGTTCAGCTCTTGGCACTAAGTTTCCTGAATAAATCCATGTACTTTCTGCTTTAAGGTTTCTAAAACTATCTCACACTTCACACCCCCACACATTCTGAAAACCTCTGAGAAACACATGCCACTCCCATCTTTTCCAGTGCTTGGCAGAAACATTAATTAACCTGTCTAGATAGACAGAGGTATATGTAGGCTCATGCACAGGGTGAGAAATATGAATATTCTTTCAGGTTACCTCATCCAGCAGCAAAGTATATATTTATATATGCTATATATATATGTGGAACTGAGAAAGCAACTTGATCTACAAAGCAGAAAAAGTGATTCACTACCTTTACTATTAATCTAATGGCAGAAAATAAGTTTTTGTTTTGTTTTTAAGTAGAAGTGCAGGCTGCCTCACATATAGGACTGATTGGAGGGGGGGAAAAAAAAAAAAAAAAAAAAAAAAAAAAAAAAGGAAATGCTGACATCAGGCGGACCAAAAGGGTAAAATGGTGCTATTAGGGAAGAAAGAAATACTTTATTTTTTTAAACTTCCACAGCTAATTAATATTTTAAATTAATACATGCATTGATACTTATATTATTCAGCTGGGATGTTAATTCCTCATCCCACAGGAGAATCTCTCACAACAAGCTAGGTAAGAATAGATTTCAGAACACTGGTAAAAGTAGAATTTCTTTCAAAGTAATTTCAGCTATTTATGCTGTATCACATGAAAGCAAAAACGGACACAAGTTGCACAACTTAAGAAGTATTTATACCAACCACAAAGTTTTCACATGAAAAGTATTTTACATTCATGAGTATGAATCATCAGTGGCACATAGGCAACTCTCCACACCTTTCAGAGTCGTCTAATTTCTTTTGATTCCTATGACACCAAGACAAGTATTTTTTTGGAAATAAGAAAGTAAAAAAAGCACACAAAATGGATTTAAAAAAAGGCTCATACATGCTAGTACTGAAGATCATTCTTTGTAATCTGATGAACCCTAGAGTTTTTCCTCACTTGAAATATCTTTTCATCTCTGCAAATGCAGAGCTTCTGGTAAGAATACCATTTGACTGACAAAAGTAAAGCTACATTTTTTTTTTCCTAATGGATCTTACAATGGGAGGGGAAGAAGAATAGCTGTACAAAGGGTTTCATCTCATGCTGGGGTTCAGAGGTTGATTCCTACTGAGATCGCATAATATAGCAACTCATCTTTCCCTCTGCCTTTACTTTAAGATTAGAGTGAATTAGGAAGGACCTAAAGGAGCATCTGCTCAGCAAATAGCATTGCACAGTGCCCACCAAAAGGAAGGAGTGACACGGAAATCTACTGTAGGAAACTTTTGATACCAGTGAGGATACTAATTTAGAAAGCCTAAATGCAAAGGGTAGTATCTTCTGTCTGCATGACCAGGTATGCAGAAATGAGCGAAATAAAATGGAATGAAGATACAAAACTTTTTCAACATCCATATTTTAGACCCACACACCAACATTTCCCATTACTATCAGAAAAAAACAATCCTGTTGGGTACTTCTTTCAGCATCCTTTCAGCAATACTCATTTTTATTATTCTTTTGCAGCCAACCAAAAAAAAAAAAAAAAAAACCCCACAGTTTGTAATTCAACTGACAAAAATCACCAGGCTCAAATATTCAAGTCAGAAGAAATGTCTCCACTTTTCAAACTTCATCCCAACAGAAACTAATGAAAACATAAGCATTTGAAAATACGCAAATAGATAGTAAAGACAAAGTTGAATCCCATTTTGCAGAAATAAAGTGCTACACTTATATGGCAATGAGGTGTTTTTGGCACTAGATTTTCTTCTCTTTCCACTCTTGCAATTGAATGCCAAACTGTCCTCAAGGCAAGGAGGAAATTTTGTTTACCTTGTTAATCAGAGACTGCCTAAATAAAAATGGAGGAATCATTTTAATAAAGGTTATATGCCTTGCACAGCCTAAAGAACCCTTAAGCTTCTACTACTGAACTAAAAATAAATGCAAAACAAAGATGCCCTGATCAGATCTAGAAATCAGTATCTGATCTGAGGGACTTGTGATTAAACTATTTGGTTATATAATTAGCTCTCATACAAGGTTACACCTACAGTATCAACCTAAAATGCTTTTGAAGTTTACCTGGACACTTAATATATTGAGTCCAAGGAGCATGGAGTCCTTCAATTATGTGCTTGAAATTTTTCTACATGCTCTAAAGCAGTTTAAGATAGATTCCCTTGTAGTTCACAGTCCACAAATATAGTTCTTTATAAACTCAATTCTTGTGATTGCAAACTCACTTTTAAAAATCCAGTAGCCCTCTTCTGATAACTGATCTAAGCAAGACTGACTTTATCTGATTCATCCCTTCCTACACAACATGACTCTAATACTTTTTCCAAGCTCATTATAATACTTTCTACAATATGAATCCTTTATCTAAACAACATTTCTTATAGTCTCACCAGTCAAAAAGGAGGTATATATTTGGACATTTCCTTCCTTCAGTTCTTAGTTCAGTTCTTAGAGTGTATTTGTTTTTCCAGACAGCTCCAGATGGCTGGAAGAATTCTGTACGCCACAACTTATCCTTGAACAAATGCTTTGAGAAAGTTGAAAACAAGTCAGGCAATTCTTCTCGGAAAGGCTGCCTATGGGCTCTGAATCCAGCTAAAATTGATAAAATGCAGGAAGAGCTTCAGAAATGGAAGAGGAAAGACCCAGTTGCTGTAAGGAAGAGTATGGCAAAGCCAGGTCAGTAACATGTTAGTGTACTAGTTCTCAGACAGGGGCCTTGAAAGCATTACATTTCTTGCAATGCACATCGTGTAAGAGAATTTATACATGGTTTAGGGTAATGACAGAGACATTTTCCTGGGTATGACAACAAAGTGAAAAAGCAGGATTAAATAAGACCTGATTTTGCTGGAGTGCTTCTAAATAGCCACAATGCCATAGCATGTTCTGAAGGCTAAAGTAGCACTACTTTATCACTTCATCAAGAAAACATTTTCTCTTGATACCTCATTAAAGCAATACTGAAATAAGTACTAGTGAATAAATTTTGAAATTAACTAATGAGGTAACTATCCAATCAGTAAACAGAAACATGTGATTTATTAAATACTCACTTGACAATTAATCAAAAAAACACTTCAGGCTTTTGGAGTACTTATCCAAGGGGTTAGAATGAGTGAAATAGAAAATGCATTTTTATTTCCCAAAGAACACTAAAATTTTAGCTGTTACCTATGAGTATAAAGGTTCTGTTAAAAATAAGTAAAGTTATGGATTCTTTTGTTCTTTTGTAGAAGAACTTGACACACTGATAGGCGATAAAAGTGAAAAGCTGAGATCTTCAATCATGTCCTGCAGTCCAACTGGCATTGCAAGTGCATCCCTTTCCAGGCAGATGGCAGTCCAGCCCCATTCTTTATGCGAGTCCTCTCTCTCCTCCGGTATACCACAGCCCTTGCACGCTATCCATACATCAGGAGCTCTACACGTCAAGAATCCCTTACCCAATTTACTGGGAGGGCAGCAAACTGCATGTTATACATCACCCCAGGGTTTTCCTCAACTCTCAAGTACGTTAATGCAACAGTCCCCTGACCCTCAGACCCTGTTCCCTTCTGGGGAAGCTCAGAGCGAACTCAGAACTCAACCCAGCATCACCCAGGATTCTCCGTTGCCTGCCCAGACTCCCCCCACCTGTAGCGTGAAGATGCTGACGGAGCACTCCACAGCCAGGACGATGCAGGACACACTCATGCCAGAGGGCGATCTCAGCAATGACATTGATGCTCTTAATCCATCCTTGACCGATTTTGATCTCCAAGGTAGGTATCCAAGATATTTCTATTTGGTAATTTCAGACTTAATACATCACATCTCAATCCTGCCATTTCCCCCCCTCGCCACCCCACTTTTCAAGGTATCTTCTGTAAATAAACACTAGCAGAATTAACACCATTCACATCCTTTTTGGAACTAATTGTCCTTCCCACTGCTACGGAGGCCAGCATACCAAGTTACATTATTTTGCACAACATGGATTTTTACATTATATCTTCAAAAAGTTTCCCTAGAAAGATATAGAATAATGAAAAATGACCTTATTCTACTAAAAATGCATAGCAGTATTTCAAATATATTTTATTTATTCAGACGTATTTTCCTACTGAAAACTTCTCAGGCACAATTATTTGATGCGTATCAAAAAATATATTGCGTGAGGAGCAGAGAAATACTTTTGTTTGAGTTTAACTTATTTATTCTAATCCCTTCCTTATTTTCACTTAAGAGAATCCTATTTACTTCTTCACAAGTTCCACAGGGACTCATACAACCCATAGACTAAACAGTAATATTTTATAAAGTGTTCTTAAATGCTTACCCATGTAGTGAAGTAATTTCCTTAAATTAATCAGAGACATAGTAATTTTGTAAAACAATCTTTCTTTCTTATTCATATTTCTCCTATAAAACAGCATTTCAAAAAGCTTATTGGAAGAAAGTTTAATTTTTTTTTTTTTT